AACCCACCCGGTTATTAAAACATATAAAAATTTTTTTTTTGAAATTTTCAAATTTTGACCCGGCCGGGTTATGAAAATCATTTAATTAATTTTGCATGGCCTTACATTCTTTTCAATATGGTTATTAAACCAAAACTCATAGAAAATATATCAAATTGAAATTTTCTGAAACTATCGACAATTCTATTGAAAACTTTTGTTTTTTTAAAAAATCCATTCTTTTTTATTTCAATTGTTCTGAAGAAAAAAAGAATCATCGTCGGTCTCTTTGTAAAAAAAAAGTTTTGAAATGAAATCTAAATCGAATTTGGAGAAAATAAAGAATTTATACTTAAACAAAGAAATTTCTAGACATTAAACCATTTTTTTTTTCACTTTGTTTTTAAGATTATTTTTATTGGTTTTTTTTTAAAAATCTTTTTTTTAGAATAAAGTACCCCGTGTATTGTGTCCACACAATAATTAGAGTATTTTACTATAAGCGTTTGGATTCAGGCCTCAAAACTTGTAAAATACTAGGCCACATATGTCCATATATACTAATTTTGTGCAAATTGTGCCGTGTCAAAATTCTGTATTAAGAGTGAACCATATGCTATTTTTATATCAAAATTATTCAAAGTATTAATAGCAATATGCATAAATTTTTATTTTATCTTTAACTTTAGAGAACCTGGCATGATAGTCATTAGCATACTAAAGTGTCTAGAGTTCATTATGTTAAAAAATTGTTATAAAATTATATTCATATAATCTGGTTGGTTAAGGAAAATTTAACAATATTCGAAAAAAAATTTTTATTATACTTATAGTATTTGAATGCCAAAAAAAAAAATTCAAGATTTTCAAAAATCGCAAACCAATTTATATATTCTAATTAAAAAGTGTTCTATGCAAAATTTTGTAGATGATTGTTGCTTTCAATTTTGTGCACGTTTGTTAAAAATTTTGCACTTATTTTCTTGGGTTATTTATCATTTGTAAGTAGATTACATGATCATGATTTTAAGTTATATCATCATATAAGGACATGCCTAGAAATAATAAGGCATGTCTTGGTCCGAAGCATGACCCTCAGGTATGCTCAAGAATTTATGTAGCATCTACTCTAGAGTAAAGTGTGTATTTAGAGAGGTCTTTCAATATATGCATTTTTTAATTTATAAATTCTTATCATATTATTTATTATTCATATGTTTGAATTATTACATTGATTCAATAGTTTACACTTAGAGAAGAGTGTTTAATTAATTGTATTATTAGTGACAAAAGAAATGGTTACAACGAAAGAATCTGTCATGATGAAAAAGCTTTCTATAAAAGAATGTGTTTGTAATGAAAAATATTTATATTGAAAAAAAAAAATCAATTTTCGTAACGAAATAAGAGCATGTTATAATAAAATAATATTGTAGCGAAAATGAAAGTTTATAACATATATTTAATATATATATATATATATATATATATTATATAACGAAAAACAAAACTTTTATAAAAAAATGTATAAAAATGAGTTCACAACGAAAAATGTGAATGTTTGTAATAAAAAACGAAAAAACCGATTAAACAAAAAAAGAATGCTTGTAGCGAAAATAAACGCTTAAATTATATATGACGAAAAATCGGCAGTAAGTCCCACGAACGAAAAACAAAAAAAAGGGTATACAACAAAAAATGAGTTTATAGTAAAAAAGTGAATATTTATATGAAAAAATCGAAAAAAACCGTTTGCAATCAAGAAGTAAATAATTTATAACAAAAAGAAGAATTCCCGCAAACGAAATAAATATTTAATATTGAATATAATGAACTGGCAGTAGGTCTCATCCCACAAAGTGGGATACTCGAAATTTAACTTAACATTAGATGATATAAATAATTACGATATATGTTTACATATTGATTAAAGAATAGTGTGATAGATTAATAGTTAGAGGCTCATAAACCTTGTGGATAAAGAAAGAAATGATGATTGATCGATAATGTATTTGGAAAGCTTCAATAGTTTCACAAGGGTTATGAATGAATATAAGATATGGAAAAGGAACCATTTGAATGACTAATAGATGATATGATATTTTGAAATAGATTAATTAAAAGATTATTATATAAGAAAGAAGGATATAAAGATGATTAATCAATAAACGTATTTTAGAAGACTTCGGTAAGGATAGACATTAAGAGGAGTAGTAATAATTATTATAAAGATTTGTAGTCTCAAAAGAGGATAAATAATTTGAATTATTAGTACTTTGAGATAGGTCAATAGTTAAAGGATCATTATTTTGCATTGATCGAATGAAAGGGGAGAATGGAAGCAAAAATGATTGTTCATTAGTTCTATAAGCGTAAATATTGGAAGAAGGAATGATATTATTATAAGGATTTGGAGTTTCTAAAGAGGAGAAATTATTTAAATAACTATTAAAGGATGGTGTGATATTTGGATATAGATTAATGATTAATGGATCATTATTTTGTGCAGGTCCTTCGTGAACGAAAAGGAAAGCATTTTGTGATACTTTAACAGCTCTGCAGGGGTGGATTTTGAAAGGAATTTCAACAGAAGAGAAATTGTTAAAATGGCTAGTAGAGGATAATGATATGGATTAATAATTAAAAGGTTATTATCTTGCGCTGGTCCCTCATAAACGAAAGGGAACATATTTGAAGATATTTTAGCAGCTCCGTATGGGTAGATATTGAGAGGAGTTTCAACAGAAGTGATATTTTGATATGGATTAATGATTAAAGAATCATTATTTTGTGCTTTGGTAGTTCTAAAAAAAGACTCACAAGAATTAATTGATGCAGTATTTCGATTATCTGGCATTTGTCCTTGGCTAATGAATGACACAACAGTTTCAAAAGAGTAGGGAGCCTCTGTAGCTCCGGGAGACCTAGGCTTTTACCCGCGTTTTTTAGATAGGGTACTTTTACAGTGAAAACCATTGTTTCTACAGTATGTACAAGCATCATTGATATCTCCTTTAGGTTTTTTGCACCTTTGGTATCTTATTTGGCAATTTTACATGCTTGAGTTGCATTAGTACGTAATCTTTGTGGTTTATTTGACTGAGACATTTAAGAGCAATCTAACAACAACGGTAATACTAGATAAAAAATAAATATTACTATGAATACGGTCCTGGTCATAAAAAAATAAAGTGCTATCCAAAAGAGCATTTTTGGCTTTTTTTATATTTGACAAGCTCATGTTTGAGAGTTATAAGATTTATATTGAGAATCGTTTGTATATTTCATTTTTTGTTCTTGATCAAAAATTTTAAATAGTTTATATAAAAATAATCAACAACTAATTGTGACTAACTAAACGGTACATCATGGGAAACAGGCATGTATATATAAATATAGTAATTATTATGATTAAAAACCGGACACGTATACCTGGTGTGACAAATAATGTAGATCAATTTTTCACTATATAAAAAATTGCATCACACCGGGTACATGTGTCCAGATTTTATGGTATATCAGATATAATAAAAATTTCAAGAATCACGAGACCACAAGATTTTTGAAGAATTAATTAAATTTTTTTATTCAACTTAATAGAATTTATTCGTATAAATCTTCAATTTGAATTTTTAAGCTACTAGTAAAAGGTGGTTTGTTACGTCCACTCTAAGTTTTTAGAAGCTTTTTTGCTCGTTCAAATTTTTAATGTCATCTATCATTTTTTGAATAGGTTTAAAGTTCGTTTCAATACTTCGAGACCATTTTTTTTGTTTGCGTCTAAAACATAAAATTAATAAATATATTTATTTAAACATGGAAATATAATAAAAATTTTTTTTACAACTTATAAGTTTTTTTGTACTCTCTTAAAATTTCAGATTCGGATTCGCTATCTTTAGTACTTGATTCTTCATTATCTATATTTAGGTTTTCTGAATGATCTTGTATGTAATTGATTAAAGTTGATATTTGAATATTTTCTCATAAAGTTCCATAATAAGAGAATATTGAGAATTCCATTGAACCTAAATTAATTTAATATTAGATTAAAAAATTTAAATCATAGTTTAATAACAATGAACTTGCATAAACTTCATCCATATTATTTTCTAATTTGTTAACTGTTGGGAAATATTTACAACTATCTCAAGATCCATATTGCTTCTCCTTCAATATTTATAAGTTTTTTCATAAATTATATATTTAGGATCTTCAGATTTCATAGTATTTTCTTTTTGCTTGTAAATATTCTTTGCAGAAACCTGCATTTTTTGTTAAATATAATTATTATATAATAGTTATATAACTATTATATAATTAAAATATTTTAAAATAAATATATAATAATCATACTGTATACATATAATAAAAATATAGTTAAAAAAAAAAATTAAAAAATAAAAAAAAATAAAAATATAATTAACATGTTTTAAAAAATATTATAATTTAACTTATTTTGGTAATCACTTGTACTGAAATCTTCCCACTAAAGAAAAACAAAAAATTTTTGTTAAAATAATAGTAGGCTCTAAATAAGGTTCCTAGGTTCAGTTCAGGTTTAGGTTCAATGAACCTGAACTAAACCTAAACCTGAACTATAAATTTTGCAAATCTTTAATCTGAATTTTGAATTTATGAATTTGAACTGTACCTAAACTTAAAGTTTTAGTTCAGTTCAGTTCATTTCAAAGTTCATGAACATGTTCAGGTTTAGTAACAAAACATAGTAAATAGTAAAAATATGTTTACTAAAATTTTTTTATGTCTTTAAAATTTTGAATTTGGAGTTTTTCAACTAAAACTTTTTTTTTACTAAGTAAACCTTTTCAACTTCTAATAAAAGTTGTAGAGAAGTGTCTTGTGATTAAAGTAGCAGTTAAAACAGTAAAATCAGCTTGTGGATTGTGAAATATAAGTATTTTTGTCTTTGTGATTATAAAGAAGAAAACATATAGTCATAAAGACTAAAATATTTATATCTCACGATCTACTAGGCCAAATTTAATATTTTAACTACTGTACTATTTTGATTATACTGTAAGACACTTCTCTACAATATTACTTAGAAGCTAAAAAGAAATTTACTAAGAATACATTTAAAAATCACAATATTTTTTTATAGAGAATTGCTAATCTTAACCAGGGGGCAAATTTCCTGGAGTGCTGTATCTCGATAACGTACTAAATAAACAGGATCAGGTTCTCTAAGTAAAAATGTTCAGGACTCCCAAAAACCTTATAAAAACTGAGATCAGGCTCTATCGGGCCCTTATAGTAGCTCTATATTATTTTATATAAAAAAAAATAATTTTCTAATTTTTAACCCTAACTCTAAAAATAACTAAGGGGAGAGATTTCCCCCCGGTTAAGAATAGTTATTTTCTTTTTTATAATTTTATTAATAAAATTATAAAAAATATTAAAATTTACAAAATTGTACTAATTAAATCTACTTTAATTTACTAAGTAAACTTGCTCTATGTATAAAAATATATTATATTAGTATATATCTACTTTATTATTTTAAATTTTAAAAGGAAAGATATTTAATTTTGAATTTTTAATCAAAAATTTTAAAATTAAGCATATTTCTTTTAACCTTCAAAATTATTTCTTAATTAGTAAAGATTTGTAAGCACATTTGCTTGCATAATTACTATAAATATATCTCTGATTTACTTTTTTTTTTTTTTTTTAATATTAAGGTGACCACTTAGGCCCTTGGCACTTTATTTTATTAGTACAAGCGGTAGGCCAATGTTAATTTTAGCACCGGCTTTACATATTTTATCAGTATCACGAGAGTACAA